CAGGAGTTGGAGGTTGCGGTGAACTGTAATGCCACGGCACTCTACCCAGGGGGACAGCTTGAGGCTCTGTCTCAAAAAAATAAAATAAAATAAAATAAAATAAAATAAAATAAAATAAAATAAAATAAAATGGAGAATATAATACATACTTCACGAACTCTTACACAGGTTAAATGCTGATCTTTAAAACCCACTATTCCTGGTCCAAACTGTCCTAAATTCATGGACATGGCTATCTTTTACTAAATGAATAAATAACATCTATTCACATTAATCAACATAGTTAAGAATGCAGTTAGGTTTTCTAAAGACTCCTATATTAATCATCTCCAAATATGTTTTGAAACATAATGGAGTTCGATTATGAAATCCATTATGTTTCAATTTTAAATGAACAAATTCCTGTAATTGAATTAGGTAAAATAGGACAGGAGATAAAAATGACCCATAAAAATAAAAAATGACACATGTGTCCACACTTGTTTCTACCACTACTTTGGCAGAATCAATATCCTTTGATCTTTTTTGTTGGTAAATCAATCCCCTTCTATCTTTCTTCAAGGCAGGGGAGGGGGGAGATGTCACATAAGCATCAAAAGCTGGGGAAAAAAATCTAAACTTTGGGCAAAAAATTCCAGCTTTACCTTTTCAATCTCCTGATAATTCAATTGTTTTAATCTTCTTGACCAAGAGAAATATAGTTATAAGTCACTCTTCTAAATTTTTTTAAAAATTTCTACAGTATCTTCTATCTAGTTTCTGCTGACACTTCAAAGCTGGAGCAATTTTCAGTTAGGTTCTTTCATAGAATGTTATATTAAGCTCATCTAAAGAAATTTGCCCAGGTACAGGGCAGGATAAGCAAAAAATCATCCAATTCAAAGGCACAAAAGAAGATAAATCCTATTCCTATAAAATATTTCCCTAGATTAAAAAAATATATATTATTGCAGATACCTGGTTTTGAAATGTAAGCTTCTTAAAAATTGATTTTTGGGCTCGGCCAGCCACATGCACCAAGGGTGGTAGGTTCGAACTCGGCCCAGGCCAGCTAAAGAACAGCTAAACAACTGCAACAAAAAAATGGCTGGGCATTGTAGTGGGTTACCGTTGTCCCAGTTACTTGGGAGACTGAGGCAAGAGAATCACTTAAGCCCAAGAGTTGGAGGTTGCTGTGAGCTGTGACACCACAGCAATCTACTTAGGGCAACATAGTAAGACTCTGTCTTAAAAAAAAAAATTGATTTCTGGTAGGAATCTAGTTAAATATGTTTGCATTAGGTTTTTAAGAGCCAATCATATGGGGGTACAATGATCAATAACTCCCAAGTCTCAATTACAAACGTTCATTTAACATTGACTCTGAATTTATGATATCCCAGGAATATGATGCTAAATGCGATTTTAAAAGGCTGGAATCTAAAAACGGAAAATACAACCCGAGTCAGCGTTTTCCGTGGCACAGAGATTCATCAAAGAGTGGGCTGCACCGACACACCCTGGAGCTTTTCTTTCATTTTCTAAGCATTTCTCAAACTGTCATCACAACACAAACTATTTACAGATTTCTCAACTTTCAAAGAAGCCTAGACATCTTTTAAAAAGATTTCAAGGCACAACCTCAGAGATTAGGGGAAAAGACCCAAGAGAAAATCCAACAGAACATTTTAACCTCATCTTGAAAAAGCTGAGGAGTAATTTAGTAATAACCATCAAGTTCCCAGCTAGCCAGTACAGGGTCGTAACTGTGAACTGTCTTTACTGAAGACATAAGACTACTGTAATATACTGAGGGTATAAAATAATTTTCTGGAGGGAATCATATTTACAAAAATAGATGAAATTCCCAAGTCTGAGTATAAGACGGATTTGGAGGGGGGGTGTAAATAACCACATGACATCTCAAAGCTGAATTTTTTAAATAATCTTTTAATTAGGATTTAGAAGTAATAACACCTGCATATTTCATGCCAGACCACCCAACTATTGTTACCTACTGCAAGATGTCTTCATCCCTCTCACCCCCAAGTCCCACCCCCCAAATTTTGGAGATACCCCTCAAAATAAGATTGGGTAAGCATCAATTTCTTCTTGATCAGGAAAGTTGATGACAAGACCTCTCTCCCATTCACTGATCCCATTCCCTTCATCCTCCTCCTCCCTGAGGGGTCTTGAGGCTTAAGACATGAAAAGTATCTCTTGCCATGGAGTTTGGGGGATACATATGAATATAAAAAGGGAAAGGCCAGAAGTGGGAAGTGGCCCCTGATGTCACAAGGACCTGCGCTATCTTTGGCATCCTCACTGGGAAATGACAAGTGATCCTGCCCAGTGCCTGTGACAGACGGCTATTACACTCAGCCACTCTGGGTCCAGCTGATGGCCCTTGATTGCATACTTCATTAGATTATCTGGCTAGGATAACTGGTACTTTAACCTACCTTTAATTAAATAAAAGTTGGAATCATGAAAATGCATTTTTAGTTGCAACCCCAAGGGGCACTCTGCACGGAAGGATTGCCTCACAGAAAGTCCAACAGTGATGCTGTTACTGTAAGTGCAGGAAATGTGGGTTCATTTGCAGGTTAGACAGTCTCACATACATCAAAATGGACATTTCCGTGCATGTAGAGTATGTGATACGTGACAGTTCAGATAGCTCAGATGAGTGTTTGCACTTCATACTCAGGGCTCAAATTCGGGATGTGCGGGGTTTGTCAGCCCGAGGTTCCACCATTGCATAAACTGGTTTTGGTGTGTAAGGGATAGTGGACGTTGAAGGCTCTATTTGCATTATCAAGCAAAATAACAATTCACATGGATTGTTAGTGAGTTTGGGTCCTGATTTTTCAGAAAGTACCTGGTTTTCTCACTCTTCTGTCCTAATGGCCACGACCTCCCTTAGCAGGAAGGGGTTTGAGGGCTTGAGCTTAAAGGCAAGGGAGGGCCAGGTCTGAATACGGTTAGTACCTGCCCAAAGTCATGTGGAGGCTGGTCCTCAATGTGTCAGTATTGGGAGGTGGTCTCTGGAGGTGATTGCGTCCTTTGAGGGGATTAATGTCCTTCTCAGGGGACTGAGTTATCGCTCTCTTAGAACTGGATTAGATACCACGTAAGTGGGTTATTGTAAGCAAGGGGGCCTCTCCCGTTTGGTTTCCCCACACGTGCCCACTTCCTCTTCCACTTCTCCAACATGTTATTGTTAGATCTGGCACTGGGTAAACCAGCGACGAGGAAGTGGCTAAGGGCAGAGAGCAGGAACAGAATCATAGCCAGGGACTACACTGCAGCTGGGAGCTGGTCCCTGGTGGGAACATGCACAGCAAGGAGCTCCTAACAGACCCTTCACTGACCTGGGGTCATTACCATCTAATTAGCATAGAATGGGTGGAGTTTTCCTGCAAGATTCTAGGAGGAC